GGAGCTTATAATAAAATTCAGACAAGAAAAAACTAGCCAAAATATATTAGGATAAATGACATTTTCGTATAATGTGCTATGGGAAAATGCAAGTGAATGGAAAATTAATTTGATCCTGATTGGACCCAGAAAAGCTTCATAGAGAAGGTGACATTTGAGCTAGATTACCTTGAAGGAATCCAACAAAATGAATATAAAGGTTATTCTCTGACTAGGGAGCAGCATGGCAAAGGTATGAAAGTATAACAGAAGAGCAGAAAGCTGAAGGTTCATGAGATGGACATGGAAGAGTGCAGATGGGCAGGAAAAGGAGGACTCAGTGCTTATGAAGAGACTTGCAGTCAAGACAGGACCATTAAAGAGTCTCTAACCTTGGGAAACAGCAATATAACTTGATAATATCAGCATTTGGGATCATTCCCATGGCACCATGGGGAATGGCTGTGAATTAGGAAGAAACAAATGTAGAAAAACCCATCCTGGGGTTGTTGCAGTGATCCTTCCTCAGGAGAGACTATGATAGGTAAGAAAGGATGGTGGTGACAAGGAGGTAGAGAAGTGGACAGATTTAAGAAGCATTTTCCAAGCTCTAATATAAATTTCATCTATCTAAATTAGTATAATTGTATAGTTTTAAGCATAATGAAGATAATTCTTACATCTCTCTGAATTGGAAGACACATTATCATCTACATTGAATTAACAATTTGGGAAGTGTTTCCTTTTCTTTTGTTCTTGCTATAATTCACAAGTAATTTAATTAAATTTAATATATTTTTGAATATTATGATTTGATCTTGGAAGCATGAAGGTAAAGAAAAAGCTTAGTCTTAAATTTGAACCTAATATCCTTTGAGAGAGTAAAAGTTTCCCTCATAATCACCTTCAGTATCAAAGAACAAAATTAAACCCTAGGTGAACTATCAATTAATATTTATATTTAAAAATATATACAGTAGAAAACTAAGCACATTTAAGAAGTTAGTACATGTAGTGATATGAGTAATGGTAGAGAACTTCAATATATTTTTGATAAAATTGATTTGAAAATGAGGAAACTCAACTTGAGTGACATGCAAAGGTTACAAAACAAGCAAGCTTGTCAGAGCCTAGGCCAAGACAACTGACTCCAGTTCACTTTCCACAATAACATACACCTTATTATCTTCTAGGAAGAATATTTTGTTGTTCATAACGTGATTCTCTAAAGCAAGTTCTTTCAACCACAGCCCTACTAACATTTTGGACAGATTAATTCCTTTTTGTGGACATGTTCCTGTGCATTGTAAAATGTTTAGCAGCATTTCTGGCCTCTGCCCATTAGATATCAATAACATGCCCTCCTACCCCAGTTGTAACAATCAAAATTGTCCAAGACATTGCTAAATATCCCAAGGAGCAAATTGGCCCCCAGTTAAGAGCGATTGTTCCATTTATCCCTAAAATATTATGAACTTTAGCCAAAGGAGAAAGAATCTAAGAAACTTCCCACAAAAATTCTAAGTTGTACTTTCCACAATTTGCACACCCTTCTCTTAAAAAGTGAAGCACCTGTGTACCTGCTTTCTTAACTCTCTAATTGCTGTGACAGTTTCTTTCCCTGTTTGCTCTCAGTATGGTCCTTGCAGATTGCTTTATACCAGAGGAAACCACATTTCCCAAGCTCCCTTGTTTTCTGGGTTCAAAGTGGGTTCAGCCAGTGAAAGTTCTGACAAATGATTGGAGTGGGCAGGATGGAAGAAGCCAGGGCATTTCTCTCTTCTTCTTCTGATAATAGCTGCTGAGTCACCTCCATGGCTCCCACTTCTGCTGGGCGACCCTTCCTCTGTGGTTTGTGCCATGATTCCATCTTCCACAGGTGGCCCTGAATCTGGGACTCTGGTAACATTATCTGTCTCTTCAGTCCTAAGGGTGGTTTACCTTACCATCCCATTTGGCATCTTGCTTATTCTGTAGCCTGTGTACATAGCTTTTATAGATTGAATTGTTCCCTGCTAAAATTCATATGCTGAAGCCCTGCCTCCCCATTGTGTCTGAATTTGGAGTAAGGAAGTCATTAATGTTAAATAAGATCATAGGGATGGAGCCCTGAGCCAATAGGTTTATTGTCCTTATTAGAGGACACATCAGAGTTCTCTCTTTCACTCACTCTCTGTCTTTGCCATGTGAAGTCACAGCAAAGAGTTTGTGTGTAAGCCAGGAAGAGAGCTCTCACCAGGAACTGAATCTGCCAGCACCTTGGTCTTGGAATTCTCAACCTCCAAAACTCTGAGAAAAGAAATCTCTGTTGCTTAAGTCACTCACTTGGTTGTGTATTTTTGTGGCAGCCAGAGCTGACTAATATACCAGTTTCCAGGATTATAGTTCCATTGTTTGAAATAGCTGAAGAGTTTCTGTTTTCTTGCTAATGCTGACTAACACAAGTTCTTTATATCATATTGATACCATATAAGATTGATTGAGCCCCTATCATGTGCATAACATTATGCAAGACACTTTAATATTTATTTCTTTATCCATTTCTGCCAATGACTCTGTGAGATATGACAAAATATGACATAAGGAACACAGGTTTTGAGTCATTTAGACTGAATCACAACTCCTCCACTTACCAGTTGCATGACCTGAAAAATGTTAGTTAACCACTTAGGTACAGCCACTCACTGGCCGGGAACCCTTGCCCACAGCCAGCACTCATAGTCCCCAGGATAGTTTGTGCTGTGCATTGACGACGAATCCGTTTTGCTCTTGTGTGATGAGGAAAGCTTTAAAGCACTGAAACCTTGTTTTACTTTACAGGCAGCTTTAGGAAAATAACTACAATAACTTCTACTAAGGACTTGTTAAAAGGTCACAGATTCGTAGTAACTTATTAGCTGAACGTACACACTGCAACTGCAGAGATAAAAGTTGTAAAAGTAAAAGCATTTGGCTGTCGGCTAAAGTCGACGCTTGGCTGTGCAGGTTCATCTGTTTATCGACTACAGTCAACGCTCGCGTACCGAAGTGGTTAAACTCTCTAGGCTCTGGTTTTCTTATTTGTAAATTGGGCTAGTAATAGTACTACACTAGGAGGGTCATTCTGAATTAAATGAGTTACTTTATATAAAGTGCTTACAATATTTTTTTGGCATATAGTAAGTTCTTGATAAATCTAACTATTATTTTTATCTACAATTTATTGAGTGCCAATTATGTGCCAAGCAGTGCAATAGGTACTGGAGATATAAAGACAAATAAAACACAATCAATACCTTCAAAGAGTTTCAGTATACTAACAGAGGAAAACACATGAACAGGTAATTATAATAAAATATGGCAAGTTTATTAATAGATCTATTATGGGAAAGCCAACATGATCAACAGTCAGAGTTTGGGAGGCATCTGTCAAGGTCTGAATCAGTTCTACCAATTACTGTTTGACTCTGGGCAAGTAACCTAACCTCTCTAACCTTAAAAATTTTCTCACCTGCAAAATGGGAATAACAATAGTCCCTACCTCATTAAGTTGTAATGAGAAGAAATGAGATAATAAAAGTGCAGTTTCTGGTATAGTTTCTGGAAGATGATATGTGCTCTAGGAAGGATAGCTATTTTTATCATTAGTAAGAGAGCACAGAATAAGGGCACCTAACCCAGTTTAGGGCTCCCCCAGGCTTCCTGCTCCTTGGAAGTCATTCTGATCTACTTGACAATAACTGCCTTCCTTAATTTTTTTCCTTGAAAGAGGAGATTGAGTGTATCATACATTTCTAGTATGAGTATAAATTAGCACAACCACTTTAGAAAATTTCTTAACAGGATCTATTAAAGCTAAGCATGTTTACAAAGCAGTTCTGCTCCTGCGTATACACCCAGAAATGAGCACATTTATGTACCAAAGGACATGTAAAATAATGTTTATAGCAGATTTATTTATTTTTATTTAATTGCGCCAAATTGAAAGCAAACCAAATGCTCATCAACAGAAGAATGGATAGATACATCATGATATATTCATATACAATGGAATACTATATAACAATTGGAATGAGCTACAGCTACAAGCAATAATATAGATGAATCTCACAGGCAAGATGTTGAGCAAAAGAAGCCAGCGTGCATACTTTATTACTCCATTTGGAGAAAGTTCAAAAACAGGCAAAATGAGTATATAGTCATAGAAGTCAGAAGATTAGTTACCTATTTAAGGAAGTATTTATGGAGAGGGGCAGTGTATTGGTAACGTTTACCACTCAGATTTCTTTTTTAAAAAAAAAGGAAAGAAAAGAAAAAGAGAAAAGCCCTGAATTTAGAGCATTTGCAAATTTACACGGTGTAAATACTCCCACGACTATGGTAGAATTCAAGCTACTAAAGTGATGTTATTGAACACAGTGTTGGGAAGAGATACATATGGCAAGTCAGATCCAACACACTACTGGACAATGGCATAGAGGAGCATGCTGGTATGCTAGGAATGTTCTGCATCTTGATCCGAATAGTACTTACACAGGTGTGTACAGATTCACAGAGCTACACACTTAAGATTTAGTCACTTTATTGTATGCCTATTACACTTCTATAACAAGCAAAATTTAAAAACGTTTCTGAAAACTAGAAAGAAAAAGAAATCATAACTGTTGTGTCCCAGAGATGAGCCAGAGAGATACCAGAGATTTAATGGTTGGGAAGTGGGCACTTAGATCTTCTTGTTTCCACAATAGATATGCACCAAAAGGGAGACACCATTAGAAGTCATTGACATAAATAGAACAGAGATGGTAACTCTTTTAGCTCAACCATTCTTGAACATTTCAACTTCGGACTTAATTCAATTTTGTCACCAATGGTTAATAATACTGCACAAAAGATAGTGTCATTTCTGAAAAATCCCAGATTCACTGCCTTAACTATCTATGGCCCTGTCACTTGATGATGAAGATTATTCCACTGGGTGGCTCCAGATGAACATTTTAAGCACAGTACCACCTGAATACAATGAGCAGACACAGAAAAGCACCAATTTTAACAATTTTACTTTTATTTTGAGTAAAAATACAACATTCATATCATTTTCCTTACATCCGTCAAATCTTAAATATGTTCAATATGTCTAGAAGATGTCTGTGGTCTAGCTAAATGAGACATTTTAATAGGACAGCTGCTCCTGACATTTATAGCACTTACAGATTTAACATGACAAAGCCAAAGCAAAATTTTAAAGGGGTTTGACTGATGATAGCTTGACAAATCCACAGATTCATTTGTTTCCGATCTGGCAATATAGGACCATAGAAAACACCAAACCAAGTATCTAGAAAATAGAACAACAGTGTTAACAGAGAATTTAAGGGAAAACACTGGACACATTATAAATAAATAGAAAGAACATCATATATGAAAAAATTCTGCCTACTGACAGTTCTAATCTTATTTATCTAAGTCATCTCTCTTGGGAAATTAGAGGTTCCACTGAGGCAAAAGAGCTCTGAGAAAGATACCCGAGTTTCTTTGTGTTTTAATCAGAGTTTTTCAGCTGGCCAATCAGTTTCTAACCAGGCCTATTTAACTGTGCCTTAGTGGCTGCCACTAGAAGACCCTCTCCCTCTCTCAGATACATACATCCTTCTGTGGGGCATCTCCTCTCTAGCTCTGGGGAGCTCAGGCATCTTACGGCTAAATATACCTATTGCTTCCATAAAAAGGTTATGATCATCTGGTTTAAATCATCTGCATAAAAATCAAAGAGTCTAAAATTTTTCTTGCCATAGTTTTAGGCATTGCCAAGAGGAACGAAAAAAAATGAAGTAAATTATTTAAAAAAAAAAAAAAAGCTTCTAAACTATGGGGAATAGCTTAGTTCAGGAAATTCCTTTGAAGTGATAAAAGCACAGCTGAAAATCTGGGGCATAATTTCCATCTCATTAAGTAGCTCTCCCAAGCATGAGGGACCCAAAACTTGCTCTCATTGGCTCTGTAGTTGGTGACTTGCATGCTGCGTGTTTGATATGGAAATGACAGACAGGACCTGTGTGCATTACCAACTGGAAGTTTCCTCCCCGCCAGCCCCCTTTGAAGGCAGGCAGGAGTGGGCAAAGCACTATTTATGCTGCATCATCCCAAAAGCTCCTACTGCGTTCAGACTTTCTGCTTACTAATACTTTCCCAGAAATGTAATTCAAATGAGAACTGCTGCCCAATATTTCTTCCTTCTTAAAAAAAATTGACACCAATTCCCTGAAAAAGAAATGATTTTCATTCAAAATGTTCTAAAATTCAGGACTGAAATTTAGTCTTTCTGCCTCAATGCCAAGCCTTAAGTCTGTGGTCTTAAGTATCAGGAAAGAATAAAGAAAATGAGCAAAATAATGGGATAAGTTTCACTGCCACATCCTTAACATAGAAGCCCACCATTCAGCAGCAGACTAGACAGTTAATATTATATTTTGTTGCATTCTGTTGTCTCTGAAAAAAACATTTATCATTGTTCAGAAAATAGCAAATAATTAAAAGAGATTTGTCATTTTATAATGTATGCTAAGGGTTATGATAAACTTGCTAAGAAGTATGCATGCATGAGTTCCCATATTCTGAAGAAGTCTGGAAAATGTAAAGTTATCATTTTTCTTTTAACTGTTTTACTCCTAAGAACTCCTGTCAGGATAACTTTTATGCTACAAAGTGATGACTATCAGTACGTAGCACTTTTTAAAAAAATTAAAGTGAGGAAAATACTGATCAGTTTTTGCACATATAAGTTGCTGTAGTGAAATAAGGAGACAGATGATAATTAGGGTTCTGTAAGTCAGAATAATGAGAATTCCAAAAATGTCTATAGATACATGTTTTTAACAGAATAAAGCATTTTGCATAGAATCCTAGCATCCAATGTGAAAAGAATCCCTCAGGTATATAGTCTTAACAGAGCCTTAAAACTAAATATTGGCCTATCCTATCAAAGTCTATGCCTAAACAGACTAACATCAAAGATCTAAATGTAAGAGAGGTTTTCTTTTTTTTTTTTTTTTCATATGACATTTTTCTGTGGAGATAGTCTGAATATATTTTCTGCAGGAAGTCATTTGATTTGGTTTCTTTAAAAATATTTATTAGAGGAGTTTTTCTATTTACCTTTGTGCTTTCTTGAATTTGAACTTGGGAAACAGAGAAGGGGGTGGGCCTAAGTGTTAGGCAACTCGTGCTAATGACTATAATAGACTAACATACATTTTTTGGATACATTTTTATAGAATGGCTATCAGAAGACTATTTTCAAAGCTTCTTTTTGAATAAAGAAAGAAGCAATATAAAATGATTTTCTTTCTCTTCAAACCCTAGAGGGAGGGCAGGTTTTAGATTGAAGAACAGAACAACAAAAAAAATTTCAAACAGTTCTTTGAACAAACTATTTACCACTATCTACAGATAGCCTAAAAATCATACTTAATTTAACTGGTCTAACTCAAAACATGGTCATTTTTATGATAATACCACATAAATTCCATATCTATAAATTACCATACAGAAGAGTTTTACTAAGGTATTTCCCTGTATATATCTTTAAGAATCAATAAAATATCTAAATATGTAACAAATACATGGAGTATAGCGATTTCACAAAATACTGAAATGCACAATTCTTGTTGTAATCTTATTTTCCACTAGATGTATTTAAATTTTTGGCAATGCTTTTGACTGTGATATGAGAGACATCAATCTCCCCAATTGATTATGTCCTTATTTTTTTCTGGCTTTGCTTTTGAGAAATTCTTAAAAGCAACCATGAGCTGTAGCTTGTCAGAGTCAATCGTCTGAATGTGGGTTTAGCATGAAATTTAACACTTACACTAAATACCTCATTTAAAGCCTGTTCTACCATTCATCTAAGGTCAACTTTACCAGGATATATGCATGTGTGTGTTTTATGTTTATACATGTATGAGTATATATGCATGTGCTTCCTTAAATGCATATGCTTCCTTCCTGTGGCCATTAGCTTTTATTTCTAAATTATCATAAACTCAAGATACAAAGCAGAGAAACACAAGACATTTTATAAAGGACAGAATCAAGAGAAATAGACCTAATGCATAGCGCCATTTGACTTTGATTATGTATCAGACATAAAGAAAGACAGCCATAACTTACTGAATAATGCTTCATATTTAGACCTATTCATTTGGGCTACAAGGAAGTAATACTCAACAACCCAATTTGCTACTAATAGTCTTTAACCTTTCCCAAATGGTTGGCTGGGAAATTCTACCAATAACCTAAACGACCGCTTAGAACACTAAATTGCTTCAATCCCAGCTAAAATTCCTTTTTGGCAGTGATGTGGCACAAGTGAGAGGTACAAAGCCACCAGAAAGCCCAAGGAGGACGTCACACTCCCATTCTTGAGAGTGAAGCAGAAGCCACTCAGCTTAGCTACGCCGCCCTCAGAGGCATTAACCAAGGAGATACCTCCCATCTTTAGAATTCTTGCTAATTGCCTGAAATAGGATTGTGAGTGAATTTGACTCACTTGATATCTAAATTACCCAAGATCTGGGATGATTCCAAAAATGCTTCTCTGAAATCGTTTTAATTTGTCTTCTTGGCAAAGATTTTTACATAATGTGAAAAATATCCTTCAGGTTCTAATAAAACCATGCCGAGAAAGTCCATCAAGATAACAATCCTATGTGGGATATTTTTTCTACATCAATAATTAATCGATGAGAATAATTCATGAGTCTCAAGCAGAGCTTCCCTGAAAACTCCCAGTGAATCCATAGTACTCAAGTTGAGAAAATCAGAGGCAACTGTCTCTACTTTTTAGAACTTGTTAGATTTCCCTAGAGTGAAATATTAGAAAAATAGCTCCCCATACTCTTGAGTTCAGTTTTTACTTTCTGTTTCAAAATCAGGATGAGAAATAAGAAATTGTAAGGGTTGTGTTTTGCTTTTGTTTGGTGCTTTTTCTTCTCACTTTAGAAAACTTTAATCCTTGTGTTGGTTTTCAATGGAAAAAGAATATCTGGGACTAAGAACTGTGTGGAAATTTATTCTATTTTTTTTTTCCTAGTAGAGAGGTCTTACAGAAATAATAGCCTCAGCCATATTCAGTTCATAAGACTATAATCCCCTCCCCAGATGCTGGCTGATTAAGGGAGATTCTTGGTCTTGGGCACTTGGTACCTAGCGTTTTTTCTAAAGAACCTGGTTTTTATTTGGCTCACCATAAATATTTGTTAGAAGAATTAATGAACAAACAAGGGAATGAATGAAGAGTCAATAATACAAAATCATACTGTACCTCAACAACTGCCAGTCCAAATGCTATTCCAATAACTATGATAATATTTTTTGCTATGAAATCTTTTAAGAAAGAAATACATGGCTGTTAAAAAAAACATAAAAAGTTATTTTTAATAAAATTTTGACTTTATATTAATTATAAATTATTCATTTGGTTGACTTTTTACATTGCTACCAAAGAACACACTCAACAAAAAAGAGTTGGGTCATTCCTTTCACTCCCCACTTCACCCTGCTCCAAAAGGTTATAACTGCTGGGGTTCATTCCTACATTAAAAAGCATTTGAGGAGTAAAATTTTGTTTAACTGTCTAATTGCTGAATCAAGTGATAAATAATGATAATCATTTTTTTCACCAACATATACATTTTTCACCAAATTATACATTTTATAGTTTATAAAATCACAAACTTTATAGTTTATAAAGCTATAACTTTTTTAATTTATAAAATTACAAGTAATAATTTTATACTAATTTTAAATTATTCATTTTAGAGTTGATATCACCTTGACAATGGATTTTTAAAAGTTTGTAATCTAGAGCAGAGAGGTACTTGGTAGAGGTTTTAGCTAATTTTCATTTTTAAAACAATGTATTTTTAAAATCCCCTAAGTTTAAATTAAAATTTAAATAAAAAGTGTTATTTTTACCTTAAAAAGAAAAAATCACTGTCTACCATTAATGTTATTACTTTAGATAAAAGAGAATTTAGAAAGTTGCATCTCTGCTGCATTCTTTGAAACTTATGCAAACCAGCATGCAATTTCCAGCTTCAAACATTTCAGATCAGACCTAAAAATTCCAAAAATTGCAAATTATAAGGATAATTTTAAAAATGGAAAAATACTACACAAGGTAACAGTGTTATTCCTGTATTGTCATAAATCATCCCTCTGATGGGTATAAATGTACAGAGGACTTACAAAATACTGCTAATTATTAAATAAAATAGAAGTTTTCTATAAGGGTAAGTAGTCTTTTCCCCTTCATTCCTGAATGTAATGAGCTTCTCCATTCACATCTGATCCAAAGTGGTAAACATTCAGGGAAATTATTATGTCACTTAGGGTTAACTATGAGATTAATGATTATATCTACTGAGTCACATTCATTATATCTGAGGCATTTTCTGTCCCTCTTCCCCTAAGATAACAAGGTTATCTTGCCAAAAGTAAGGGGAAAAAAACACATGAATTACGGTCATTCCAGATTTGTTCTTTTTCCAGACGTCTTGCAAATCACACATGGCAGATGGAAGTATTTTATGAATTTATGACCTTCCTTTTGGGACACTGGTGCAGCCATCAGCCTATATTAAGCTGAATTATGTGTGAACTTGCAGGGAATATCTACTGGTTCTTTTAAGGATAATGCTAGGAGCTTTTCAGAATCTATCTTGAGGAAAAACATCTTTAAGTTGAATCTGAGCAGGAGAGAGATAGCAATCTGCAATTGAATTTACTAATTTCCTCATTATCCTAAGTGGAAGCTACATTCTCTTGTACCATATTTATTTCTCTTCTTCCTTGTAAATATTGTCATTAAAATTAGATAGGGAATAGGAGAGCAGGGAGAAATAGAATAAAACTCTTTTAGTGATATTACATTGAAAATGAAAGACATAAAAATCTGTAGGCTGCTAGATAATTTCTTGAATTACTTTAAATATTAGTGACATGAGTGACTTTAAGTATTAATGATGGCAATCCCCCTTCAAAACAGAGCCTCTTTAATGTTGATAATATTAGAAGAAAAGATCAGTAGTCAGAAGGAGAACAGTTTCCCCGGAGATACTTTTATATATTTCCTTTTATATGTTGACCTCAGTAGCAGTTACTAAACCAAAACAATGCTAGATTGAAAATAATCTTCAGGCATTATAGAAATGAACTCACTGTGATTTGTAATGGCTTTTATGTATTTCTCTCCCAACTGGATTGTAATCTCCTATTGGATCCAGAAGCATGTCTGATTCTAGCAGGGGTCTGTCTGACACATAGTACACACTGAAGAGCAACAGTGCACCCTGCTCAGGAATGGATCTCCACTGGCTAGCAGAAGGCCCAGCACATAAGAGGCGGTCAATAAGTATGTGATGAATTGATCAATAACAAGAAATATGACATTCACGAGCCATATAAATATGACATCTATAACACATAAAAGATTAACTCATGCTTTTCAGTGGACTTTAAATGTTTCAGGCAACTTCTCCATTGGACCAATAACGAGGTAAATGGGATTAACATCCAGAACTTAACCCCTAAATGTATTGGAAAGGATTTGGAGTCTTTTCTTTACATCTTGAGGAAAAACGAACCTCTTTTCTTGAGAAATGGTAATACTGATTGGCAAAAAAAAAAAATCTTGACTTTAAAAATTAAAGTGAAATACTGATTTATAGAACTTATATTAAAATAGAAAAAATAGAGGAGATAATGATTAAGGTCATCAATGAGAGGACAAAATAAACCTTTGTGTTAGTTTGTACTTTGCTTTGCCTTTGCCTCCCCTTGCAGTAAACTGTTTCTTTGATTCACCTATTAAAGTTGGGTTTAAATGATGCCAGACTCATAGAAGACATAAAATACTTCCATTTTTTTTTAAATATGTGCTTTTATCTTTAAATAAGAATTTCTTTTTTATTTGAGAAATTCCTTAGATTTTTATACCATGATTCCCACTATACTTGCTGCCTTTTAAATTTTGTAGAGACTTTTATTGTGAAAATAAAATAACAGAATCACCTATTGTACCAATTTGATTTAATTCTTACCTGTTTGTAAACATATTTTCCATCGTAATTTGTACAAGAATCATCTGGCATTTTTGGACATTCACATGACTTGGAAAATTGTTGAAAATTACTTCCCCAATCAGCAGCTCCATTGACCAAACCACAGCATTTAAACTGATAAATAGTAGAATAAAAAAACAGTCAGTAAGAAGATTAAGTACTTTCTCAATACATGGAATTATATTCTTCTGAAATCATTATCAAAATATATCTTATGCTAAAATATTGTGTAAGTCACCTTCTCTACCACTCTGAATATAGAAGCAAAAATGAAGGGATTTTTCATTTTGATCTTAAAATTAATGATAGATAAATGAGATTGCAAACAGATGTAAAGCTCTGAGGAACTTGGAAAGAAGATGAAAAACTCACCTTTTAGTTTTCAGTGACAAAAGAAAGGGGCAGAGTCAGATCTATGTATCCTAGATTTTAGCAAAGAAGTTTCCAAAGAGTTTACAAGACAGTCAAGGTCTCATCAAAGAACTGTTGCTTAAAAGAGATGAGAAGTTTTAAAAATGAAATTTCCATCCCTTGATCTCTGATCACTTTGGAAGGAGAGGAGGAAAATAATGAGAGGTATTGCAAAGGCCAAAAAGAGGTTCAAGGGGCCTCCTATGAGACTGAAGTTAAGGGACATCTTTAAAATATGAGGGGGAGTACAAATGAAGGATAAAACTGTTAGAGTAATGTCAAGAAGGCTAAGGTCCAGAGTAAACTGAAATATGGAGAAACATCAAAGAGAGTGGAAAGAGGATTTGTGGCCATGTTTCAGGATGAAAAACAAGGAAGTGATAAGCCCAGTGACTCACAGAATATGACACATAACACTATTAGGTGAGAGAGAGAAAAGTAATTATCCTTCATCTTGCTCCTATCTGCTCTATCAGTGAGAAGCCTCTTCGGGCAGAAATGGTAGGAAAACAATTGATGGTAAGAAAACAGAACTAAGACTGGGTGGTTTTCCAGGCTCCAAGGCATTGCAAAGCCAGGACATTGAAAGAACTTTCATTCACTGGCTGGGTGACCATGTTATCCATGTTACTTAAAGCTCTCTGCACCACATACAGTTCCTTATATGTAAAATACAGATGATAATAGTTGCTAATAATAGCATCCTATTCACAGATTTGTTGTAAAGATAAAAATGAGAAAATCCACATGAACACATAAAGTACTTAGCCAAGCCCCAGGCTTGTAGAAAGCACTCGATAATACATTAGCTGCTATTGTTGTTTTTATTCTTTTTTGTTGTTGCTTCTCTTACCTTCTCACATGAACATTATCTGTTCTACATTGCTATTTGGCTATATAGAAAGTATCTTCTCATTTCTGTAGTTGATGTAGATCTGGGAATGATGATTAATTTGCTGGAGAACAGAATTGAGTTTCAAAGATATTTCCAATAATGGATTTAAACTAACCAGTTCAACTGAGGCAGATAGAAAGTCTTGCACTTTGGCTCAAAGACTGAATTGTACAAATGTTTGGCACAACAGATGTTCATATGACAAAGAGCTATAAATTTCAGTTGGTTCCAAGGTCAATATTAGCAAAGAGGACAATTTTGAAACAGACTCCTTTCCTGTTCCCATGGTAGACATGATTAATTGCTCACTGTTTCTGATTACATAATCTTAAATAGTATTAATCGATATAAACTCTCCACATCAAGTAGAATATTATCCCATTCTACACACACAGATTAGTCTACATATTTGAAACACAAGATACCTTGGGATTCCTTAGAGAGACAAAGAGACATACTTATAGAAGATAAGGTAGGGAAGAAGGCTAAACTTGTCATGGTATCTGGTCACTAGATCAGAGGTGAGAGCAGTTAGAGAAAAAGTCGGTCAGGACTTGTTGAAGGTGATATAACAGCTAGATGAAAAAGACACTGTACAGTGAATGATAATACGACACCTCTAGACAAATAGTCATCCCCAAGAATCCAAGAGGGGGATATTCCACTAGTGCATTAACCAGGAATTTGTGTGGGAATTCCCTGAAATCCAAAGAGAAAGCCACTCAGCATCTACAAATTCTATCCATGTATAGTGGGGCCCCAGCTTAACCAGCCAGAGTTTGAAGTAGGATTCTTTTCCCAAAGAAGCATGATGTTACAAACAAAGCAATGGTGGATAAGGAAAAGAAGGAGGAGAGAAAAAAAAAAGAATGGACAATAAAAAAGAAATACAGTCCTATGAGCACAAGGATCTTCAGGCATAGGATTTCTGTACAAGAATGGGAACACCTAAGGAGAACATGCTACAGCTAATGAAACACTTAGAAACCCACACTTGGCACCAAGACCTAGAATCCCATGAAGGATGTGCAGCAAGTGTGACCCAATCCAGAGGCCCAGTGGTTACCTCTAGTGTATTTTGCCCTAGGTCAACACACTTGGGAGGGTCAAGGATGCTCAGCCCCACCCAGGGGAGGAACTGAGGCTGCCTAAATTCTTCCTATTTTAAGCCTGTATTCATCTGGGTTCCAGAGAGGGAATGATCCAGGAGAGGAGATGATCAAAGGACCCAGCTATGGGGAGCGAGGAAAAGCACAATACAGAGGAAGTTAAACAGGGACTGACCCATATCAGGTTTCGGCTCTTGGAAACGATGCTTTAAGCAGAATTTTTTACAAGCTGGAGTCTATCCAAATAGGAACTGGAGAATGCTCTGGAAAAAAATGTCATCTGATAAATAGCTCAAGAAATCAAGGATGTTTCAACTTGAAAAGCAAAGCTTTGGGGAGTCAAACAATAGCCATTTCAAAGAAAAGAAGCATCAACAGATTTTCTTTTTCCTCTGAGACTCTACAAAAACTAAGACTAAATGATATAAATTCTAGGGAGGCAGATTTTGTTTCAAATTAAGAAAGAACACACTAATTAGACTTGTACATAGGCAGGATGGGAAGAAATTGGTAAACTTTTGAATCTTCTATATTTAATTTGAGGGTGGGTGGCCATAAAAATAAAAAACTTTAATCAATGAGAAGTCAGATTAAATGACCTCTAAAATCCAGCCCTCCCCTGAGGTTCTGAAAATTTCCATGCCATTCATGAAGTGAATGCTACATGTAGTCAGTATGACAGGAATTCTGAATAAAGAAGGTACAGTTAGGAAGAGTTTCACAGAGTAGCTAATATTTTAGTTATGCTTTAAAGTACATGAATTTGGAAAGAAAGAGAAAAGCAGTAAGAACATTCCAACGATGGGGAATGATGCAAAGGCTGGAAGGCAGAATTGTTCAAGGGACCCTAAGTAGTTAAGTCTGACTGGACAAGAGTGTTTTCTTTATGAAGCAGTGTTTAGTAAAATTAAAATATTAAGTAGGAACTGATAGTAGAATATCTTCAATGCCTACCCATGTTGTGATGTTACCCTAAAGGAAAAAAAAAAAAAAGGAGGAGGAGGATAGTGAATTGATGAAAAACTCATAAACTTGCCAGACAGGTCTGGGTTCAAATTCCAACCCCATCATTTGATAACTGTCAGATCTCTCTAAATCCCAATCTCTTCATCTGTAGAATAGGATCAATGAGAATAATGATAGTACCCATCACATAGGGTTGTTGTATTAAATGAGTTACTGAATGTAAAACCTGGTACATAGTAGTAAGTAACAATAAATGTTAGCTATAATTATCTTTATGAGAGAGAGGCAGTGGAAGCAGAGAGAGAGCACGCAAGAGAGATTCCCCAAACACACTAACCTTTTAAATGGTAAATATTAAAACAATTATTGATTTGACACAGTTGAGGCTTGATCTGTCATAAACATATCTTCTTAATCTGTCCTTCTAAACTGCTTAAAAACTTTGTATGTAGCTAGAAAATAATTACAAATATTCTTGGATTGTTCTTATTGTATGGTGACAGAATAAATAATCAATCAATATCTGCAAAATGAAGACTTTTCCTATCTTTAAAGAATACACCAGTTAAAAATTAAGCAAACACAGAAAAACTATGTCCAACTCCCTAAATGATCTACAAATTCTAATTACCTTTCCTTGAAATTCTTGCAGGGCTTCCTGGATTGGTTTTGCACTCTCCTCTGTTGAACTCAAATACTTTACATTTTCATAGACAGTTTCATTCAGAATGCGATCATACTGAAAATTGAAAAGTATAGTTATATTATTCATGCCAGAAAGGTAGTATTTCAACTTTTCAGACTTGTCCAAAATTAGCAAACATCATCTATATACACACCTCAGATCTGAAAGTGGCTCCCAGGATACCTGCCGCCACCTGCAGGAGCAGGATCAGAAGCAAGCCTATGAAAAACTGAAGAAGAAGAAAAGAAATGTATATTATGGGCAGTGCATTCAGTAACACCTGGGGACATTTCAGCACAGCACTCCTCTCCACACCCGGGATCATATGACAATTGGAGTGGTAGTCATACTCTTCATTTATTCTACCTTTTGCTTCAATCTGAAAATTTGGGGTCCACTATCACTCAAATATTTGCCTTCAAGACTGATGAGGAAAGCGGATCAAATTAAAATTTCTGAATAGAATTATTGGTATCTGTATAATATAGAATGGAGGGAAGTTTGGAAACTTAGATGAATTTATTTGAGCGTGTCTTTCTCCTTCCCTTTCTTTATCAAGCACAAACCCACACAAACTCAGAGATCTGGCTTCAAAACAGCATTTCCACCACTATCAGAATCACCTGGCATCTTGTTATATATGGAGATTCGTAAAATCTGCCTCAGATCTACTGAATTATAATTTTGGAGGATGCAGCCCACAGATTATTTTTTTTTAAACAAGCTCCTCAAATACTTAAATTCCCCAATTGCAAATGAAGCCTTATTAATCAAAAAGCCTTATTAATCAATTGTGTCTAAGGACACAATTAGAGTCCCATTAAAACTGTCTCTACTGTCCCTCATAATAAACAAACAATTAAAACAATTGTTTTCAGGCACTGACACAATACTTATTTTATTAGAGAAATAAGTTTATATTAGTTCTTATAAACTCTTATGTCATTTATATCTGATAAACACTTGATTTTTTTCTAATATTTGTACTATACCCACTTATGATTTTCTACTATATATATTAAAAATGAATGCCTAATGCCTGTGAGTTATCCCAACTCAATCCTCCTTGTGACAAATCTGATTCCAAGTGACAAATCTGATTATGTCACTCCCTTACTATTTTCTGAGCATGGCATATGGAACACTTTACAATGGGACTATAGTCCACATTCAGACTCAGCTCCTATCATTTACTGAAAATAGCTTCTGCCAGCCCCCAAGCTATAGTCAAGGCCTCTCAGTTCCCCAAACATGCCAGCACCGTGGTGCCAGGCTCTCTTCCTGGAGAGCTCTTCACTTCTGCCCTTGACTGGAACATTCCCTGCTCTATCCTTGCCCTTTTTTTCTGAGGCCCCTCCCCCTGTAGCTATTTATTTACTTATTAATCTTCTCTAATGGGTTCTAATTGTCTTAAAGTCACCTGTATCATTTAGCCCAGTATCTGGCACACAGAGGTACACAGTAATGTTGAATAAATGAGTAAGTAAATAAATGAATGAACAAATAGATAAATTACTAAAATCTGTCTCCTTTCAGAGTATCCTCCAATTCAAGCCAAACAAAGCCAACTCTAAGCCATATAAGCTTCCATAATCAAACCATCTCGACGGAAGCTAGACTTTCATCCATCTCGACATGTTCTTTTGACAGACAACGGGGAGGGGACACGATCCTCAGGAGTCTGAAGGCTGGACTCTGGGATTTGTCAGGAGAACTCACCAACAGAAGCATGCAGCGGCTTTCTTTCATGGCACCGCAGCATCCCAGGAAGCCGAGAACCATGATGACGGCACCCACAGCGATCAAGATGTTCACAGCAACATCGGGGTTAGCGCCAGCATGCCCAGAACTGAGAATCTGGAAATAAAAAAGACATTAATGGCAGAAAATCCCTTTCCTTGAATTTTATTTTGCTCATTCAACAAACATGCATGAAGTAGCTGCTATATACCAGGCCCTGTTCTAGGACCCTGAAATACGTCAGTGATACTAACAAGAAAAACTCCCTGCCCTCATGGAACTTATGTTCAATCGAAATGTTGTTTGCCTGAATAATGTTTCCAACCTTGCATTTTTCTAAAATGTTACGTTGGAAATTGGATAGAGGAAACATAATAGATTTTTTAAACACTATTTTAAAAAGCTTGGAAGGACAGGTACTTTAACTCTTCTTGATGTGATCTTTGATTCACATATTTTGTGTTTTGTACGTAAAGTAGCATCATAAATCATGTGTTTTTATGGTAATCTAATTCTGTAAATTAAAAAGCCCAAGTTCCTCAAACTACTCATAGACACAACAATATGAATAAATCTCAGAATCATTGTGTTGAGCTAAAGAAGCCATATAAAAAGAGTAAATACTGTATGATTCCATTTATATAAAGTTCAAGAATAGGAAAAACTATGGTGATAAAATTCAAAGCAGTGCTTGACTTTAAGCAAGGTAGGAGGGAAAGCATGAATTGACTGAAAAGGAGCATGAGGAAACTTTTATGGGTTAATAAAAATGTTTTGTATCAGGCCGGGCGCTGTGGCTCACGCCTGTAATCCTAGCTCTTGGGAGGCCGAGGCGGGCGGATTGCTCAAGGTCAGGAGTTCAAAACCAGCCTGAGCAAGAGCCCGTCTCTACTACAAATAGAAAGAAATTAATTGGCCAACTGATATATATATATAAAAAATTAGCCGGGCATGGTGGCGCATGCCTGTAGTCCCAGCTACTCGGGAGGCTGAGGCAGAAGGATCACTCGAGCCCAGGAGTTTGAGGTTGCTGTGAGCTAAGCTGACACCACGGCACTCACTCTAGCCTGGACAACAAACCGAGACTCTGTCTCAAAAAAAAAAAAAAAATGTTTTATATCTTGATAAAAAAAAAAATAAGTCCAGTTCCTGACAAGCTGTATTAATTCTATCTCCTCATTCCCAGAAAGTATGGTTCATTAGAGTCTTCCAGAAACTCTTTATTTTGCCTGTTAAGATAATGAGGAAAAAAATCCCAGGGGCCTTTTTTTGTGGGTGGGCTAACCATTCAGCATAATTCAGTTCTTTTCCTGCAACATACACACACTCCCCTTCATCACCCTCATACCATTGAACTCCATCTACCACTTGTCTTTCATATATATCGAGAAGTAAATCACAATAAAAATTGTGATACCTTGTGCCTGTGTTATACATGAGCACTACATGTAGCCCATCTATCTTATATAACCTCTATCTCCCGGGCTATCTTTAGTTCGAGCATTAGTTCCTAGACTAACTCAAAGACTCTGCCTTCTGGAATCTTCTATACAGCATGTAGGTCAGCTCCCTTAACAGTCAATACAAAAAAGACTGCTACTACTAAAAATGATATTTTTGTTTTTACATGCTGTTTAAATCTACTCATAGCTGGCTGGGGTCCCCAACCCCTGGGCTATAGACCCACACTGGTCCTTGGCCCTCCAGGAACCGGGCCGCACAGCAGGAGGCAAGTGGCAGGTGAGCAAGCGAAGCCCCACTTGCACTCACAGCTGTTCACATCACTGCCCAAGCCCCTCCCAGCAGATCAGCTGGGGCATCAGACCCTTGTAGGAGCGCAAACTCCACTGCAAACTGCACGTGAAGGGGATCCAGGTCGCATGCTCCCCAAGAGAAGCCAATGTTCCTCCCCCTGCTCCCGCCCCATCTGTGGAGAAACTGTCTTCCAGTTCGACCGGTCCCTGGTGCCAAGAAGGTTGGGGACTGCCGGTCTAGAGGAAACCTTTATTCAACAGTCAGTAGGAAGGAATGTTCCGTATTTATAAAAACATGAAAATGAAGATCTGCATTCCGGTCAGGGTCCTAATAAATAAGTTTTCAATCCTGGGACAGTTACCCAAACCACTGGGCCCCCATTTTCCATTTATAAAAGGGAACTGGGTCAGTTATCCCAGTGCTATCTAAGGCCTCCTTTGTGCCTAAAAGTGTCCGCTTACAGATAATGTTTCAATTTGCATATTTTGAAAGCTTGGTTATGTCCTAAAGATTTTTGTTTGTTTTGGAGTCTGTTTGTTTTCCTGTAAAGACTGGAGCTAGGAAATGTTCTGTTAATAACCAACTATGACATTTGGGTCAAAATAGATGTGACCAAAAAAAAAAAAAGGAAGCATTAGGAAACCAGTTCTGTCTACTCGCCACTAAACATGGCTTCACTAAAATAGCGTGGCCAGTACAGGCAAACCCTAAGGCAATGGCAAGGGTTGAAGCCTCCCTAGCTGGGTTATCAGAACTTAGCCCAGACATAGAAATAATAGATCAAATATCTACAGGTGAGGCTGCAGAGTGTGGGCCAGCAGGTAGTGAGGCACTTCTATGAGACTAACCCAAGCATGGTGACCCACTGCCAGAGACTGGCCAGAAAGCAACGTGTTGATTGCCTGGCGGTCACAGTTCCAAGTCCAGCCCAACAAGTGGCTATTCTTATTTAAGAATGAAGAGGAAATCTGAGTTCAGATGTTTGCTCCAAGAGAGACACAGCAGGGTTTGAAAAGCTGTCTTGAATGAACACTGTGTCTATGTGTATCTGAGGACAAGGAGAGAATTTCTCCCCCTTTGGATTAGAAGGGATCTCCTAGGACAAGGACAGCTGCCCATATGCTTTACCTCCCAGTGCTGAGTTTATTCTGAGCTAGAAAAAAAGGTGTCCCTATGACACACTTTACCAGAAAGATATGTCACCTTCCAGACAGCCTTCTTTTCTGTGTTTATGCTCATGTGTTCTCTTCTAAAACTGCCAGCTTTGTTTTTTCACTAATAAAATTCAGCTCTTTGCTAAGTCTTGTTTCTTTGTCACTGACTTCAGATAAATACAAGTCAAGCCAATTTTATATAAGGCAAGCTGGCCTAATGTTGTCCTGGCAGATACAGGCTTTCGTTCAGGGTGAGAGGCTGACAGAGTGCAAGAGTCAAAATGTAACTAAAGATGCTGTCTAGCTCTATCAAATTCACTCACTCCCGTCCCCAGATGTGGAAGACACCCTCTCAAGGACAACAGTTCTCCTTTAATACATTCAATGTGTGTGATTTCTTAACAGACTAAACACCAAATTTGTTTACCAGAAGCACTGGGAGGGAAAGAAAATATCAACAGGAAATAAAATAATAAAATAAAAGGCAATGCAGGCCTCACACACATTTTTAAAAGGCCAAAGCACACTGTAAGTAGGTGACTGGCAATCTCTGGGTTTAAAGTCCCAAAGTCGGACATCAGATTCTATACAACAGAAATTCTACACACCTTAAAATCCTTCTTGGGCTCAAACACCAGAGCCCAGGCCATCAGGAAGTCACAGTTACATTTTATCAGTATAAAACAATAAATGAAATCCTGATGCACTCAAATGTTACCAACAAGTTGCCACACCTGTCTCCCACCCAGTTTCTGTGGCTCAGAATGAGGAAACAACTAATTGCCACCCTGATTCTCTGAGTTCTCTAAGGGTAGAAAGCAATTTTTAAGAGACAAAGAAAGACACAGAGAGAGACAGAAAGAGAGAAATAAATTTCCAGAAAAGCCACCCACTTTAGGAAAGGAAACAGATGTTAATTCACTTTTAATCTTTCTTTCCACTAGGCTATGTCCAAAGTCATTTAGGTGCACCATGGTGTAATAAGTTGTGATAGAAAATGCATTGTCTTAATTCTTGGCTTAATAATTTCTTAATAATTACCAACTAGAAATCAAAATTCTTCTAAGGAAGGGAAACTCTCTTTATGTGGGCAAATACCTTGAACAGGCTCTAGCAGGAGAAGATGTGACCTTGAGTAGTGACAAAACTCCAGACAACAAAGAACAAGCAAGTAACCTGCTCTACATGAAGTCAGAATAATAATTCTGGGAGGGTGGGGTGCCTCTGAAAAGAAGAGAAGAGAGAGAAGTGTGGAATCAAGGGAGCCAAGAAATGGTGCCAGGGGCACTATGTTAGGTAGAACTGGCAGAATAACCCTCCCACACCCTCTTCCCCTCCCCTGCCCACCCCTACTCTTTCCACACTTGTGATACTGTGGTATGGAACAGAAACAGCACCTGTGAAGTCCAAAGGTTGGAGCCAGAATTAACCACATGAAATAAATTTTCTTCATACCTGTGGATCTTGGTAAGAGCTTTGACCCTGGACACAGAACAGTGTGTGGTGGAGGGAAATGGGTCATGTCAATCTTACAGAGATAGGAAGAGTAGAGATAAGGCATCCCTAGCTAACTACTGAGTGACACCAACATAATTAGCCTCTTGTTGCAAGAGTTACCTTCAATGCCAGTTGCAACAGGTAAATACAAACTATCCCTTACTTTGTTGCCTTTAAAATACAGATTTAAATTCTTCCTCAAGAGGACTTCTCACCTTCTTTCCTTTTGGATCAACCACCTTGGAATCTGCTAAACTATTGTCAATAACTTCTACTACAAAGACTATTTTTCTTGGTGGGGAGGAGAGGTGGCCTATATCCTCAAGCTGTACTTCAGTCTGGCCTTAAACAAATAGTAAAGGAAGTAAATTTCCACTTTGGCCTTTTCCCACCTCCACTTTCAATGAAATCTTTCTACTTTTTGGAATACACCTCCTCCATTCTGTAGAAGGATTATCCCATGCCTGGCACAGTGCCAGCCACATAGTAAGTAATTTTGATTGATTGAATACAATTATAAAATCACATATCAGCACAAATGATTACATGAGGCAGTTAAGAAAAATGCTTTAGAAATTTTATGATTATTATTGTCATTGTTTTCAATATTATAGGAGAAATGAACTACTTGGGGAGCAAGGCAGCTTGTATTTATGTATTTACCTCTTGGGAATCTGTGCTTACTCTTATCCATATTGCTAGTGCCAGGATCAAGATGCCACATAGCTACAGAGAAAAAAACAAAACAAAAAATGTTAGAGTGCAATTAAGAGCAAATGAAACTATAATTCCACACACCCCCCCCCCATCCGTCTGGATATAATAGTTATCATTGAGTAACCATTAGAACCTGAGAGACATAAATGGGGCAGATTCATGCACAGATAATCACTGAAATGTTCCACTGTAATTCGTAAATTTGATGAGAATAATTCTATTTCTCATCCACAGTCCATTCCTAGATGTATGCACAAGAAGTCATCCCCATTAGGCCAGAAAGATTATTTTCCATGTTGTAACTCCAACCCTATGTTTTTTGCTAGGTTGTAACACACAAAAGATAAGTTACAACAATTTAAAGACAAAATATCCTTATCATGCCCCCTGGTTTGTCTCTGAGAAGCTATGTTGGACCAAGAAAGAAGGGAATAACTAACTATTAATAATCGCCAAACATTCATTTAGGATTCAAGAGGGAGGGAGACCTCGGGATAGACAGGGAACAGTAGGACATTTGATAAAGTTTGCAGTTAAGCAACAACCATACATATTAATTGACAATTTTCGAACCCAAATAAACTATTTTCTAAACAAGCTCTTTTAGGTGGTGAAGTTTACCCACAGAGAAGGAACAATGAAGAACAGTACTTAAAGTCTTAAATTCCTATAATGACTTTACCAGATTATTTAATTTGGACCAACGCCAATACATAAAATGTAAAACACATTTTACTTTAGTGTAAGGAAAACTCTTGTCTTTCAGGGTTTTTAAAAATATATATATATTGTGGCCTCAAAAAAAAATCAGAGATTTATTATTAGATAGAGATGTTAAGAGCAGGACTGGTGACATACAAGACACATCAGGCCTTGAAGAACTTTCTACAGAATTCTGACCTTTCCATGCTCTGACAAAGAAATGTCTGAGTCCCCCAAAACCCACTGGTTGAGCCATATAGGCCTAGAACCTCCAAACAGAATTTTTAATGGCTTCTCATTAATTTTGCAGAGGCAATAGAGTCAAGCGCTTTGTAAAGAAATAGGAAGTGCAATGAGTAGCTGAATAACCAAGTAATTTGTGCTCCCTAACAGACCTTGAAATCGCCTAGGTCCAGACCCTTTATTTTGGAAAAAGAAATTAGAACACTGAGAGGAAACAGTCACATCATGGGCATCTAGGGCAACTCCTAACTGATCTGCCCCTACTACATACTTCAACTACTACAAAATAACTAATGCAATGAAAATCAAAAGCTCTTTATCAAATCACCAAATAGCCTATGCATTTTAATTATCTTATACACACACACACACACACACACACACACCACAAAATACAAATCATAAGAAACACAGCTTTAAAGCTTGAAAACTCTCCTTCTTCAACCCCGTGTTTTTATAGCATCCTTGCACTAAATCCTAATTTTATTTGAAAATGAAGATAAATGGTCATTTTAGCAGTTCTTTGTTTCTTTGTTGTTCTTTGAGTATGTGAGTGAAAATTTATATCAAATGATAATGAGACCCTGTGGGATTTTCAGTAATTTCATACCAGTTGGATTTTTTGTTTATTTGATTTGTTCACTGATACTTTCTTTCTTTCTTTTTTCCTTTCACAAGTTGATTTATAATGATTGTCTTAATAGTCACTTTGGCCTTTAGCTTTAACTAAAAATAATATTAATGGTTCTAGTAACTATTATGATTATCACTCTTTCCTAATATTTATTAAACTATAAATGTGAAATCTTTAAGAACTCTTAGCAAGAGCTCAGTAAAAACTTATAAGAGTGTGATTTTTTTAAAACTTTAACTTTTTCATTTGTGTGTTACCATTTGCTTCACTTTTTCAATGTATTTAGACATCAAATCATTCATAAATATTATGAAATCATGAAATCAACTATATCTACCCCACAAATGACAACTGTTAGTCTTCTCAGCCACTGAATATTTTCTGTAATATTAACATTTAAAATAAAGAGTATCCAATTATTTCAGAAGTCAGGAATATGTTGCCCAACTTTAATCTTCACAATTAAGATAAAAATTATTTAGGCAGATTTAAGTTTGATTTAGGAAACTATGCGATCTTCATCCCTGTCTCTATTTTTTCTTCAAACTTCATTTTAAAAATGAACAAATGTTTAGAATATATCATTCTCATCTGAGTGGAGAAATCCCATGCAAAGAATCCAGAGTCAATAAGTATCGAATGAAATTCATTCATAATTGTTGCAATGACGCTTCTTTTCTTTCTTTCTTTTTTTTTTCTTTTTTTCTTTTGTTTTATTTTCTTTGTTTTCTATTTTTTTCTGTTTTTTTTTTTTTTTTTTTGGTCTGTACTTTAAAAGTAAATTTCTTTTCTATCAAGAATGACCATTCTAGAGTCATGGTTAATGATAAACTATTTCATCCCAATTGTCGGAAGACTGACCATTATAATGGTTCTTTGAGACCTTCCCCTGTTTGGCTTTAAGGGGTTGTCCCCCAATCTTTTATACTGTTTAAACAATTAAAGGTATAAGAAGTGCTTAACTCTGTCCTACTTTCGGTTGGTAAGGTTGGAAAGGACATGGGTTAATATGTTGGCCCCAGGCCTGCCATCAATGGATACTGCAGAGCCAACTAGGCTTACTTTTCCCCCACTCTGCTTTCTCTTTGAAGAGAATCATTGTGGTTTTCACTCAGCTCTCTCTCAGGACAGCTTTCTTTTTATAAAATTAAGATGCAGGGCGGGCGTGGTGGCTCACGCCTGTAATCCTAACACTCTGGGAGGCCAAGGCGGGCGGAATGCTCGAGGTCAGGAGTTCGAAACCAGCCTGAGCAAGAGCAAGACCCTGTCTCTACTATAAATAGAAAGAAATTAATTGGCCAACTATATATATAGAAAAAATTAGCCAAGCATGGTGGCACATGCCTATAGTCCCAGTTACTCAGGAGGCTGAGGCAGGAGGATCCCTTGAGCCCAGGAGTTTGAGGTTGCTGTGAGCTAGGCTGATGCCACGGCACTCACTCTAGCCTGGGCAACAAAGCGAGACTCTGCCCCCCCCCCAAAAAAAAAAACAAGAAAAAAAAGATGCAGCTGGTCTGGACCAGCATTCTAAAAAATCAGGCAATTTTGATATTTGCTTATGGATATGTAATGAATTGAACTGTGTCCCCACCAAACTCATATATTGAAGTCCTAACCTCCAATGTGATGGTATTTGGGGATAAGGCTTTTAGGAGACAATTAAGGTTAAATGAGCTCAAAAAATGGGGTCCTAATCTGACAGAATTGGTGACCTTGTAAGAAAGATGTTTTTGTCCATTCACATACCCAAGGAAAGGCAATGTGACAGCATGGCAAGAAAGTGGCCAGGAAAAAGGTCTTTACCAGAAACCCAACTGGTTTACATCTTGATCTTAGACCTCCTAGCTTCCAGAACTGTAAGAAGATAAATTTCTGTTGTTTAAGCCACCTAAGTCGACGGTATTTTGTTATGGTAACCTGAGCAAACTAAGACCAGGCAGAAGCTGAGAACGATGCAATGCCAGGAAGAAAATGGGAAAACACCATCCAGGACAAAGAAAATGGTAGAATGTTGATTTGTCCTCTTCTCTGATAATGTGTCCTCCAATCATCCCTGCTTCCTCCCTCTCAATTCTATCCTTTGATGTGGGTATTTATTGAAGTGTATTTGGAGAGTGCTAAAATGGTAGCTAGGAGGAGGAGTTGATTGTGAGCTAAACCATTATTGGTACGAAATGGACATCTTTCAGGTAAGCTTAAGCTTCCTGTGCTGCTCCTGAGAACATAGAAAGTCTAATTTAACTATATTGAGGTAAGAGAATGCAGGTTGTACAATTGCTGCTTGTGAGAATATTTTTGCATTTCCTTCATTAATTTCTAAAGATCCAGAGATACTAGAAGAGACAAGTCTAAAGAGAGTACAAAGTTTATTAGACACCTATTGAATATGCTTTATTAATTATATCATTTTATCTTCGGTATCTCTGTTTTTCTTTTCCTTATTGAGTTATCAAAAACTGAGAGATTTGTCAAATTGAATGGTGATTATATTTACTAATATGTATTTTTAAAATGTTTACTCCATATAATCCAATAAATACCATTTAGTGTATTCAGTCTTGGGTTTTAGCTCAGAGTAAACTGTTATTTTCTATATTTTTCTTCTCTTTCAAAAATATTTTCTAGATTTATATTCACTTTTTAATAAAAATACAGCCATTTAGACATGTGAATTCTTTATTTCCAGACCTTTGTTACCATAATTTTCCCATGATTAAACTATCCACTTTTACTGCATACCTTAATCATTTGGAATATGTTTAAGTAAATTTTACAATATAAGTATCTGAAGACATCTTTCTCCTTTACTCACTGTGAAAGCCTCTGAATACTCAGCAAACATTGTTCCATTACCTTCTGACATTTAGTGTTACAAGAGAAGTCTATGATCAGCCTTATTTTTGTTCATGCATTGTTTGCTTGGTTTTTGATATTGTTGTTTATATCGAGACATATGTAAAAAATTTTATGCATCTTTATGTACCTTTTAATTAATTTAGTAGTTTTCTTAATAATTATCTAGGCATAGATGTCTTCTTTCACTAAGGTAGAACAGGCATTTTTCATCTGTATATAGGTATATTTTCAAGTCTACAAAATTTCCATCATTAATTTGATTATTATTTTTGTTCCATTTATTTTATCCTCTCCTTTAAGAATACAGCTTGTTTTGGGTTTTGTTCTCTGTTGTCTGTATCTATCATCTTCTTTCACATCATTTTTATTTTTTTAAAAATTTTACTCTGGGGAGAGCGTCTCAATTTGGGATTCTATGTCACTGTCTCCATTTAATGTGATATCCACAGTAAATTTTAGTTCTGCTACTGTGTTTATTATTTACTTGAAGTCCTTATTTATGTTATCCACTTCCCTTTTCATTTCATCCTATAGTTTGCCAATTAACTTTATTTTTCTCTTATGGCCTCCAGCC